ATATACATATATATATATATATATATATATATATATTAAATCATATCCGATTTACTTGCGCGCGGCGACGTAACAAAATGGGTGTCTCCTTGAGCAAAATTGACGTTCCAGACGCACCGGCGCAATCCGTGGTCGCTCGGACGACGTCGTCGACAATCGGGTCAAAAACGCGTCGAAATTCAAATTTCACATAATTTCGACCCGCGATCGATCGTCTCAAAAGGTTTACTCGAACATTCGACAAGTAACAGTGCAAACGAAGCGAATCGTGGCTATCGGGAGTGTCGACTCTCCGAATTGCGAAGTTTGTGCGCGCGGGAGGGCGAATTGTGCAGAAGGCCACCCTAAGGCTCAGGAAGGTCCTATAGGGATCCCTTTTGGGTTTCTTCATGTTGGTTTCACCCTTCTAAATGCTAGAAGTCGATACCACACACGCGGAACCATAAAAGAGCACAGAAGCGGGTTGAATTTCTAAAATGAGGCGGGTCCCATTTCTAAGGTTCTAAGATAGTCAAAGGGAGATCCCTAAGGCTAGATTCTAAACCCTAAAAGGAAGATTAGACCTCGCTAAAAATGAGGTCAATACCTACCTTATCTTTTTGGTTGTTCTATAGAGACGGAGGCTTTCTCCACCCTTCAGTAGGGCTGTAAATGAGCTAAGCTTGAGCGAGCTCAGGCTTGACTCGTGTTTGGCTCGTTCGAAATAGCTCGTGTTCGAAATCGGCTCGTGTTCGAAATTGACTCGTGAATAGCGTGTTCGTGTTCGACTCGATTTAAATTTTCGTTTTCGTGTTCGACTCGAGATTAACTTGTTAAACTCAAATTGAGAAAAGTAGATGTAAAGTGTGAGACACATGAGGTGTTATGATTTAAACTTAAACATAAATATATATAATATATTGTTATATAAATAATATATGTAATATATTTTATATAAAAAATTATATAATTTTTTTCAATTCGAGCCGAACACTAGCGAACAAACTGTTGTTCGTGTTCGGCTCGTTTACATTTCAAGCTTAAAAATTTGTTCGTGTTCGGCTCGTTAGGCTTAACGAACGAGCTGCTTAACGAGCCGAGCACGAGCTGTTCACAAACAACGAACCAAATTGACAACCCTACCCTTTAGGTTTATGAAATTTATTACCCATGACATGGTGATGTGTTCGTCAGTTTTCTAGGCTTGATATTTTGAATTCATCACTTACGAAGTGGTGATTTCGCCAATGAGATGTCCTTATCTTTTATCACAAATGTACATGAGGAGGGACTGTGACCATTAAAATGATTTATGACCTTGCGGTTTATGGTTCGTGACTTGGTGTGAAGAGTTATCAGGTCCGATTGGGATTGAAGATTTAGGGTCCATTTGGGCCAGCTTGTGGAGCTTGTGCGTTTCAGGATAAGCTGTTTATCCTAAAGCGCGTTATCCTAACCGGCCGCAGGGGTCAACCCGCGGCCTGCGTTTAGTGTAAAAACCCAAACGAAGTTTCGGATAAGCTGACGAAACGCGCAAACCAAACGGTACAAAACGCCGCCCACACTTATAAGCTGCTCCAAACAGACCCTTAGACTCGAATCTAGAGGCTACTTCTGAGGAAGAGGATTGTGAGGCCATGTTGTGTCCGTGATTAAATTGTGAAACCTGAATCGAGAATACTTGCTGCTTGAACGAAATCAAGAGTTTCCTTAGTTTGAATTGAACGATCGAACAAGAACTATAGGGAGGTGCACAATTCTCTATTTTCATGTGTTCGACAGTCGGTGAGAAGTGGACGAGCCTTCTTCAAGCTGTCAGATAGTTCACTCACATTTACAGAATAATTTGTGACTTTAGCAAGCGTGAGAAAAAGAAATGAACTGCGGAAATTAAAAAGGTTTGCGTTCGTTTGCAATCTTCGCTTGAACTATTCAATTTCAGCTATATGGTTGAATCAGACAGACGTTAGGGCAGTCGATTGAGAGAGCAAGGGAAGAGTTGTGAATTTTGCGGTGAGCTGCACATGAGTCGATCTATTCGAATGGATGTGACAGGCGATGAAAGAGTTATTCTTTTCTTGTTGCGAGTCGAGCCGAGTGGAGGAGAGCGGAGGATGTTCGATAGTGTAGCTACGTGCGGAGGATGTTTGACACTGTAGCTACGTGTGGAGGAGGTGTTCTGTTCCAACATAACAAATGACTGTGACTTTCTTAGGCAGCGAGGATTAGTGGCGGGGCTCGGATATCATCCGGAAATATGGGAAAATTTTTTATTGATGGCTCATCTTAGGATTTAACTTTATTACTTATATATAATAATCTTAGGAAACAAAATCGGATTCCTTCCATATAGGGAGTAACAAAAGAGATATTAATAAAAGGAAACACCATTAGTGGAATATATTTAGGGTGAAGGAAATAAATTACTTCTTTATGCAGATTTGTACTTTTCTATATTATTATAATGCAATTGCTTATCCTACATTTAAATATTATTGCCGATCGTATTAAAGTTGTAATAATATTTATTAATCATTAATCATGGGTAATTATATGCAAATCACTATTAATTTACCTTCTATTCTGATTTATTTGGCTTGGCTTCAGCTTGATATGATATAACCTTGGCTCAGACCCATTTATAAATTGGAAATTTACATACGTAGCACACAATTGTTATATATTTATATATCTCACACCTAAGCTTTCATATGTACTTAGATATCATTTTGGTGGTTGAAATCTATGCATGAAAATGTGTATCTCACTTTTAAAAAGTGATGATAGTACTGTTTTTAATGCTTTTTTAATTTTCTAAGTGCTGCATGTGTAAATATAAAAGCTTTCTTGCGAGATATGTAAATAAATAAGATTTGTGTGCTATGTATGTAAATGCTCCTTATAAATTTTACCTGATAAACTCCACATGTGGAGCAACTTTAGATACCCGCTCAACTGCAACAAGTAAAACATTATAGGAAGGTTGGAGGAGGCGAGGAAAGAAGATTGTTTTATCTGATGTGCATAGTAGAGCTTGCGAGCTATATCAACTTGTCGTGTTATAATTTTCTTTAGAATTGATGGGCAGAAAAATGAGATCTTGAACCTTATTGCTAAATTCTCCTGTTGAAAATTCTTGCCAAGTGTATTATTTGTTGCCTCAGCTTCAGTGGTTTTTAATGGTTTACATGTTTTATTTTAACGTTTGTTGTAATCCTCCCTTTTATCATTTTGCAAAATTTTTACCGTAGTTATTGCCGTGCCTGTAACATAAGCTCTTCATCCTTCGGTGTCTCCTGTTTTTTTACTTAACTAGTTTCTTTTTCTGCTTGATATTGCTTTCCTACTTGACTCATGGAACTAGCCAGGCTAAATCACTTTTATATCGTGTTTTATTTTCCTAATCCAACTGTTTTTTTAGTTAACGTGGGAAGCGTTTCCCTTTCAAATGATGCAATTAAAGGGGAGGCTATGCAGCTGATTCATGATAAGTTGGAAATAAAGATATTATCAGTCCTTAAGGATCTGCTTTTATCTGCACCTTTTGAAAAGTTTGTAAGTTTTATGGTTTTTTATAGTCTTGAATCTTTTTTTCTTTTAGTTTAAATATTAGTATTGTAATTGCAACCGTGCTGCTTATAGTTTTGCATGCTATTCTCATGCTCTCGCCATTGCTGTAGTGCTAACGAAAGGCTTTTCCATTTCTTCTTTCCATTTTAGACATTTCTGTTGACAGTTGAAATTGAATAAAACAAGAAGGGAAGGAAAAAAGAAGTTAAAATACCTACAACTACTCCCGATTTTTACCTAATCTTGATTCTCTACCGTTTAACTGTGCTTGCCCATGTTCTATCTAGCATTAGTCCCCTGTTAGTTACCTCTCATTCTCCCACTTCTCTGCTCGAACGAATCATAGATAGAAACTTCAGCCCTCACCTAAACTACTACCCCTTCTTGCTCCAGTTCGAGACCCGCACGAAGCCCCTTTCCACTTCTTCCTCTCAATTGCTGCAGACTGCATAAGCCTACTCTATCCCGTATTGTTCTTGCCTTCTTGCGCTCATTCTTGTGCTCTAGCTGTAGACCAAAGCCCCACTCCCCTCCTTCCTATTCGAGTCGCAGGAAACCCACGCCAAAAGCCATCTTCCTCACTGTTCAAAATTGCCTGCCTCACTTCTCATTTCGTGGCTGCAGTCTTTACATTACAATTGCATTTAGGGCTAGTGACAAAGCAATGATGGGATTGCGGCGTGTGATGGCCTACGAAACTCTTAATGTCCCTAGACAACCTCCCTTCCCTTTCTCGTCAGCCTTCTCGCGACACTGTTACGACCATTGCAAGCAGTGACTGTAATGACTGGGTCGAAACATACAAGACCTAATTGAAACTCCCGAATTCCTCCTTGCTTTATCCGACTTCCCTGCTCCGTCCTTCACACAACCCATAGGGGAAGCCTTATTGCTCACAGACGAAACCTCCATGCGAAGCAAACTGAAAACTCTCTTGTCCTCGTCTCCTCCACACACAAGAAAAGTTTTCTGGTACCTCTTAACCGAGCCACTACTATCCTAAACTGCAAAATCCTTTCATCGAAACCTTGTTTGACAATCGAGGTAGTCACACGCTACCTTCTCCATTCAACTTCCTGTCATTGTGCTACAAGATTCGTCTGCTCTAGCCGCACGATTTTGATCTTCCAGTTGTCTACATCTCTCCCTGCATTGAAAACCCCACTTCGCTCTAAACCCAAATTGACACTTCCTTGCCATCCTATTTGAACCCAACTCGAGCCAACATGCCAGCCTTCTTGTCCTTCCTATCCAAGCCAAGAAACAATCCTTTGCTGTCCATTTGAATATGTAATATACATTATACATATAATTTATATTGCTTTTAAAAAATTAGAAAATCTATGCTGTATATTCATTTCATCTTTTTGTCGTTGGTGCTTTATTATCATCATTGCCGTCAACTTCGTCTATTTCGCACACAAAGGGATAACAAAATGTGGGGGAATTTTTCCTAAAATATCCATATGTGGAAGCTCCAGATACTCGAGGGAAGTAGGTACCTTTTATGGAAATTGTGTACTCATTTGAAAATTTTTTTTAAAAATTAAGGAATTTAAATATCCATTCTAGGGCGAGTACTTGCTCAAAGAATTAAGCACCGTTCAGAGAAAATGAAATATTTGTTTTGGAAATTTGTTCTTGTGTTTTGAGTTTTGAAGGTACTTTAAAGGCCTACAACGCCTTTTAAGATCTTAGGATTAAGAAGACTATTTTGCTTCCTGGTGTCAGTGTCTTGCGACGCTGACCAATGATTCTTTTAAATTGTTAGACAGATTGACATTCTCCTCAGTGCTCTTTAAGTAGGGGTAGATGTTGTGAGGTTGCTAAAATTTGCCATAATTTTAGACTTGCAAAATAATTAAAAAATTGGGCTATTTGGACTTTGGAATAACACAAGATTATGAAAATAAAATAACATATAAATTGCAAAATTAAAAAAAAATAATCATTTAAATTATGGTTCAAGTGCTTTTAAAAGCATAAAACTATATGCATGTAAGACATTAATGTTTTGAATAATTGGTAACCCACCAATTCATGTGATTGGGCTTCTTTTTGACTTCAAATTCGATCATATTTGAAAATGATCAAATAAAAAGCTGTACGAGTGCAAATGCATCTTTATCTAATCTTTTTAAATACATAAATTAAGTCTAATTCAACACATAAATGTCATTTAAATATTCAACAAAAGTGATATGCCTAACTGGCCACCAGCTTCCCAACCTACATGCGAACAAACAAAATACCATGTTTTAAAAGCTTAAAATGAATATATGCATTGCATTAAGTTAAATGGAGCATTTTAGAAAAATGTGCAATTATAATCCCTAGATACATTAAATGTTGCAGCATACATGAAAGCAAACAGAAGGTGGTATTTTAAAAGCATAAAGTGAATATATGCATTGCATTACAATTTGTGTGAGCATTTTAGAAAAAAATGTGCAATTGCAATCCCTGGATTCTAGCATCCTTACCTTCCCAAATGGCTTAAAGTGAATGTCGATGACACTCTTCTTCCCTTTGGAGCAGCCGATTTCGGGTGCATCATACGCGATCAGCATGGGCTTGACATTGCTGCCGGCGACAACCACTTTCAACTTTGGGGCAATGCCCAAGTAGAACTCCAAGCCATTAAATCCCTCAAAGACATATTTAGACTATGGATGCTTGAATGTAAATACATCATTCTCGAAGGTGATAACCCTAACATCATGCACTCTTTGAAATCCACAATGAGGAGAGATGTTGGCGCCAACAACTGCTTGCTGCTCCTGATTTTGTTTTTTTTTGAACTTCAAACAAGTTTTATTTTTTCACACTTATTGCGAATGCAATAGGGCGGCTCATTTTTGTGCCAAGCTTGCACTTTCTAGCTCTTTTCTTTTGATGCATGTGTATGCCGATAGGGAGCTTTTATCGATTCTTGTAGATGATAGATGTCATTTTTGTGCGTGATAGATGCACACATGCATAGTTTTGTAATCTTTTATGTTTGATTAATGCAAGATGCAATATTCAAGGATTTCATTAAATGTCATGTTAGACCGTAAAAGTGTATAAAATGTCATATAATTGCATCCTTGATATGTTAATATTATGTGCAAGCATGTGAACGACAAGTATTTATTTGATTAAGATAGAGTTGGATGATTATGAGTTTCACACTTGAAATATGTTCATAAAGTCAAAATTATATGCCCGCATGTACTCCACTGAAATGAAATAAGTATTTAAAATTGAACGGTTTGAGAATGCTGCTTGGGTTAAAATGAAGTTCACTCAAATTGCTATCATTTTGAAAAGCGTATGTTTTCTTTTTAAAGAGTATACATTTTTTTAATTTTATTAAATTATTTATTGTGAGATCAAACTCCAAACAATTAAATTATATATGCTCTCAGTTGGACCAGTTTATTTATATTCCAAGTTTTCACTGAACTTGTTTGATCCTCTTGAGGATTGAAATTGATGAGTCTAGTAAATTTTAAAAATGTCCAAATCACAGATATAAAAAATTGCATGTTCAAATCATTTTTCTGATCCATCTTCTCATAAGATAGAGTTGACAACTAACTTGTTATATTCAAATATCAAATTTCAATTAAATTTACCTTAATGTTTTCGTAAAAAATTAACAACTCAAAACACTCAAGCTAAAATTAATCACTTAAAAGACTTGAAACAAATCTTATTCACCCTCCACTATTGTTTGTCAGGGGTGACAAACTTTTGATTGACTTCAGCTCTTAAAGAGTGGGTGTCACATTGAGTGTATTATTATATTCACACAAATTAATTTTAAGCTAGTAAGGTTGTGGCTCAAGTCTTATGTCGTGGAATTTGGCCTATTTACTCCATAAAAAGTAGCAGTGACCACCACAACAGTTTGACCGGGTGATTGTCGTATAATGTCACTATTATATAACGGTTACGATCGCAACCCATTTGTTATCCAATTGTTTTTTATCTTATGAGTTGTGAACCATAAAACCGCATTTGATTGACATAATACTTTATGGTAGTTAAGGTCTATTTAAATATGTCCCCTTAAATTTATTTTCACCTCGATCTATAAGGGTCTCTTGAACGACCTAACCTATTGTTTCTAACAATGGTCTCTTAGTTTGGTTGGCTCGACTATCTTCTTTGACAAAATTGATCTGGGATCACAATGATCTGGTATAACGAAACCATTAGATCTTGATCGGGTTCGTCATCTTTCTCGTAACTATCTGTTTTAAGTTCAAAGCTATAAATTTTATAATCTAAAACTCTAACTCTACTGCTAATATGCGTTGACTATTAAATACTAAATGATTAGCTTTAATCGAAAGTGCTCTCTCATTATTGGGAGGGGTGATTGTTGGAATTCAACATAATAATTTTGTTGATATCAAACGCGGTATAAATACAAGATACTAGAGTTATAAAATAAGAAATGCATGACAACTAAATCTCTAGGATTAAAGTAATTTCTAATAATTACCTTGAGAAAAAATGAAAGTCATTAACAAGGAAATACATAAATAAGAAAATAATTAACACAGGAAACACATAAACAAAGAATTACATAAACTAAGAAATATCTGGAAAGGAAAGAAATAAACACTTATAACTTCTAAAGCTTCCGTTCAAGTTGAAGTATAGATGTCAGTCATGTTTATAACTTCTAAAGCTTCCGTTCAAGTTGAAGTATTGACTGATCAATTTGGATTTGAAGTCGTCAAAGAACGGGTGAAGAATGATTCTTTGTAAGAATATTAGCCATTTGTGCGATAGATGGAACAAACAAAACACAGATCTCCCCAAAATCATATTTCTCCTTGAGAAATGCTAATGACAGCTTTATTGTCACAAAATAACTGTAGAGTGGTCATAACTGACATACGTAACTCAGTGAGTATAATGCACAATCATAGTGCTTTACACACTCCCCAAAGCCATAGAGCAAAACTCTGCTTCAACACTATCACGGG